AACAGCAACAACAACAGCAACAGCAACAACAACACCAACAGCAACAACAACAGCAACAACAACAACAGCAGCAACAGCCGCAACAACATCAACAGCAACAGCAGCAACAACAACAACAGCAACAACAACGACAACGACAACGACAACAACAACAACAACGACAACGACAACGACAACGACAACGACAACAACAACAACAGCAACAACAACAACAGCAACAACAACAACAACAGCAACAGTCGCAACAACATCAACAGCAACAACAGCAACAACAGCAGCAACAACAACAACACCAACACCAACAGCAACAACAACAGCAACAGCAACAACAACACCAACAGCAACAACAGCAACAACAACAACAGCAGCAACAGCCGCAACAACATCAACAGCAACAGCAGCAACAACAACAACAACACTTGTTATACGAACACACGTATAACCGTATAACTCTCTAATGGATATGGGGATCCCCCTTTCTTCAGTGTCTTATGTATATTTGCCTAACTGGACAAACCAATCTCTCATATACACAAATCTAGATGTAGGTTTTATGCGTCCTGGTCTGTTCTTTAAAAAACTGATCCAAAGGTCTCCAGTAGGATCCACCAGCAATCTCCGAGGTCACATCTCCCAAGCACGCCCTGCCGGATGTCCCCGGCGCGCCCCGGGGTCGACATTTGAAGGTCGACGATGCTCGGCCACTGCCCAAAAGCACGTCGCCTGTCTCCCGGTCACCGCGGAAAACCGTGGTCACCGGTGGCAACACTGTGGCGGCACCGGTAACGCCGGTGGTGTTGCCACCGGCGCAGAGCAAGGAGGAAACGATGTGGGCGGAAGAAGCATCTTGGTATACCTGGGTGATCCTAGGTGTTTTGATTTGTTTTTTCGGAAGGCGAGGTTTGGATTCTTTTGGTTGATGGCCCAAAACAGCTTGAGGAGAAAGTGCAGAATATTGTACTTGTATGTAGCTATAGGTAAATTAAGTTTTACGTGTTGGAAGTGGAAATGTTTCGGTTGTTCTGATGTTTCCCCTGTGGGATGATTGATGATGAGAAATGCATAGAAATGCGAGGAAAATCCAAAATCATGCAAAATCAATAGAGGGTGGTCGGGTTTTTTCCTAGCGCGTGAAATCAGCCATAGAAATATTCCCTGCGTTACATAGATTCTGAAGCACAAGAAAATACGTCATCCCATTGCTACTTCTGAAATGTTCACAGGGGGGTGAAACCTTGACGAGGTTCCTGTTTGATCTTGTGCAGGATGTGACCCATAGCTTGCTCCATATGGATTAGATGCTTTGTGTTTTCTATATGTTTCCGATCTGTTTGAGAAGGGCGCATCATGATTTCATGGCCCACCATCCAGGCCTTTGGCCTTTCTCCAATCCCCACATATACTTTTTCAGTTTCAAGTGCCAACAACTCATCACCAACATAATGACATAACATTCTATACATATTAACTGCTACAAGTAAATAATGCAAAAAAAAAAACTGACACCTCAAATCCCTATAAGATATCCCCAAGAACAACATCCCAGGTACCTTTCCCGGTACCGGCACTCCCTGACCGCATCGCTTGGCCGTCGCGCTTCGCGCACATCGCCGTCGCGACGAGGCGCGGCAGGTCTGTGACCCCGCCGCGCCAGGCGCCAGGTGAATCGTGGCGCCCGGAGCATCTGCCGGTGGAGTGCTTGATCCGCTGCCGGCGAAGGAAGAAGGGGCCCAAGGACCATCGGAGTGGGGGAGACCGGTGGTGCTTGGGTGAGACCACTTGGGTGTTTTTTGCATGGTGTTTGTTGGGTCTTCCGAAGTCTCATGGCGAATAGATGATTTCTTCTCTGGGAGAACCAAAAGACACCAAACATGTTGAAAACTTGGATGGTCCAGATTATTATGCAACCAAGTGAAACCCAAATGTTGAAAAAAACGCATAAACACATTAAAAACTTCAATTGTTGGATATCGTTGGTGATTTTAGTGTGGGAATGGGAAATACCCTAACAATCTTGAGTTTGATCATTATTTGTTGTCATTATTCCCAATGCCATTTGTGAATCCATTGCTGGGAAGTCATTGGAACATATGATGACACAGAAAGATGCAATTGTGGATTATGGAATAGATAGCTGGGAATAGTGATGATCACTTAGTGATGTTAACTATAACAATACACGATATGGCATTAATCATTGGACATCTCCTTAGGTTGGGTTACCCGTGGTTTACCACATTCGTTGGTTGATGGTGGAACTCATGTCACCATATGTCACCACGTTTATGTTTCAGGAAAAACTCCTTGTGCTGCCGTGCTTAGCCAACTTGGATGATCCGCGATTCCAACATCTCTTTGAGACACTGGAAGCCGAACAGCCGGATTTGATGTCCGAAAGCATGTTGCACTTGCAGGGCTGTGGCAGGGTCAATTAGGCCCAGCCATGGCTCAGCCCAGGCCTTTTTGGGATGATCTTTGGAAGTCGTTTGGGGTCGAGGGGAAGTTGTGTATTAGAATGTATTAGATGCAAGATGACGGTAACTATACAGAAGAGGACATATGATAGAAGGAATGACCATCAAATAGTAGGGACTGAGTTGTCTACTTTCTACTTCTACGGACGGTTACTGTACATACAAATAAATGATTCGTATAACGATTCGTATATCTACATATTGAATTTTTAAATAGGAGGTGACGGTTGGACGATCTTGCAACACGATGCAGCGGGTTGTGTCCAAGAATGCAGACTGCTTGGCATTTTCTATTGGCTGTTGTTTGTTGAAAACTGCCAGCCTGTGCTCTTCATATCTTTGGGTCCTGATTCAAACGCCTGACTTATTTGGTGTGTGTGTTTTTTTTTCCTTTGGGAGGGGCGAAAGTGAAATCACCAGCCAGAAACGAGAACTCGTTTTTCATCCCCTGCCTGGGAGCTTTGGAAATGCACCTGTACAGTCTCCGCACGGAAATCCTCTCCGTTTCCTCTCCGTTTCATCCCGCGTACGCGTAGCACGGAAGATGATCAGCGGCCATCAGTTGGAACATGTTTTTCATCATGGCGATAGTGGTATAGTTCTGTCATTCCTTCTCCAAGCCGTTTTATGGTTTTAATGGAAAGCCAAGATGTAAGCCAACGAAGGTTTTCCTGTAAATTTGATTCCTGAAGTATCCTGAAATCAATTCATGACATGAAACAGTTTGGTAGTGAGGGTCCCCCAGTACGATGGCCGGCAAACTGGGAAATGACCGATCTGAATCGATCTGATGCCTTTTTTTTCTCGAGTGATTCATGCCGTTCATGCGATCTCGGGACAAAAGATGTGCCTGAATCAAAGTCCATTTGAGAGAGATTTTAACATATAATACTGGTTGGTGGTTTGGAACATGTTTTTCCCATCATATTGGGAAATTGGGAATGTCATCATCCCAGCTGACTTTCACTCCATGATTTTTCAGAAGGGTTGGTTGAAACCACCAACCAGAATAAGAAGCTTAAGATATTTCAGTGGAATCCACAAGGCTGTTTGGGACGGACTCTTGTCAGGTGACCGTCCCCTCAGTAGACGTCAGGTTGTGTACTGAAACGAAACGCGCATCCCAGTGATACTAAGTGAGTTGGAATTCAGATGATACAGTAACCATCAGTAACCCACTTTGATCCATTTGAAGCATCTTTCACCCATATTTTGTGCACTCAAAAAGATTCATGTCACAGCAGAAAGATAGATAGACATGTCCACTTGCTATCTCGGATGGACCCCCTAAATAATTAATGGAAATTCCAGGATCCTAAAATGGAGGTACTGTACCATATAAGGCCATATTTTCTGGGGATATTCCCTTACATAGGCCTGAACAATAGGCCTTATATATGGTAGGTACCTCCAATTTAGGTTCCTGAAATGGCCATTGAAATAAGCTGCACTTAATCAAAGTTTTCAGATAATTCCAGCTTTAACTGGTGAAACATCCTTCGCGATCTCATGCTGAGTTCATTGAGTCGGCCTTGCTGGGTCGGAAGCTGAAGGATGGCGGAAGGAGGCCCTGGATTCTATCCCTATGGACAGATGATAGATGGAAAGATAGATGGGTAGGTTGGTGGTGGATATGTATATATATATAATTATATAATTATATATTATATATATATATACATGTATCATTTATGTACATTTGACATCCCAATGATTCATTCAATAAACAAGGGGCTCATATCCCCCCAATTTCTGCCAGTTATATGCCAGTCGCTGATTTCAGTCATCATCTGGGTAAACATCCCACGGGTTGCTGCCAGGGTTGGAGGTTTCCTCCAAAGCTCCTTACTGTAATCAAATTGATGTTGGCCATGGGATGATACTGGAAAAAAACTAAGTGTCCTGAAACAGATCTAGGATCCTTTTTTCCCGAATCGGATTTTCATAGATTTTCTATATTCAATGTCTATACCCTAAGGAGAAAGTGGCAAGAAACACTCCTGGAAATTGGGACTTGGATCCAGCCCCGGCCCGCACGATCAGCCGTTGATCCGCCGTTGATCCTCACCATGACTCGCTCCTCGATGCTGCCTGTGGCGCTGTTGGCGCTGGGCGCCTGGATGTTGAGCTCCTTGACAAGCCAGAGCGGCTTTGTCATGAACAGCGCCACTCCAAGGGGCAGCAAGGTGGCCATGAGGGGATTCAAGGACGACTTCTATGCCTGGAAGGAGACCTTGAGCTCGGAAGATCAGGCACTCCTGCTGAAGCAGGCGCAGAATGCATCTTGGCACAAGGGAGTGACTATGGAAGGTGGTTTCAATGAAACGCATGTGCTTTGTTCTTGTTTGTTCCCCTGGCATGTTTTTTTTTGGCCCTGGCAAGTTGGCAAGTATGGATATAGTATGGAGAATGGATCCAGTCTCAGGAGTTCAACAAGAAGTTCCGCGCTTCGGATGAGTTCAAGAAGAGCGTCTCAGAAGACAAGATCGAATCCTTCGGAAAGGTCTTGCAGAAGTTCTTCGACAACGAGCGGGAGGACTACAAGAAGGATGTCGCCATGAAGACCCCTGACTATGATGCCCTGCAGAAGAAGGCCAACCAGGCTCCAACGGGCAGAGTGATTTCGCTTCCTTCAACTGCACCCGGAGTTGCCTCACAAATCCATTTCGAAGAAATTTGCCATGCATGGTGAATCTTCCTATGCAGATCCAAGTTGTTGGAATTAGAGGAAGACCTTTCTACAGTGCTGAGCAGCAAATAGGAGGGATTCAAACGAGACATAACATATAACACTGTACATTGTGCCAAACAGATGTAAATGATTGATTCCTTAAATGCTGTTTTTTTGAATATAGAGATATCTGTAGGATTATGAGTGGCTTGGTTTCAAGCCACAATGCAGCGAACTCCATGGTTTCCCGGGAAGCGTGACTCACCAGGTGGCCTATGACTTCAGCCTCAAGCGCGCGGTCATCGAAGTGGACCGCGATGCGGACCGCCGCTGGTCCTTCGCCACGGACAAGATGAAGTTGGCCGAAGACAAGGACGAGGTCGCCCCCAACTCTGCACCTTTGGAGGACTTCAACTGGGACAAGTGGTCAAAGTGATGATTCACCAGTATGGCACAAGTATGCGCCCTGAAATTGAGCGTTTGGAAATCTCTGGAAGCCTCAAACATGCCATATTCAAGGGGACATTTATGATATTTATGGATGTGTTGTTTTCCAGATACCATGGTAACTGGGGGATGGTTACCACAAGTTACCAGGCCATGAAACCTGGCCTTAGATGCCTTTTTTAAGTACATCGCAGGAGATGTACTTGTTTGCCAATGAGGGTGAGAACCACACCAACAACGTCAAGCAGTTGGAGGCCATGAAGAAAGCAATGGAGGACGGGGCAGCTCAGCATGGCTCAGCATAGCGATTGCCATCTCCTGGTCTGCCAGGATGCCTCGGCCCCAGCAGAGGCGGCCAAGATCAAGAAGATGTTGGATGGTTTCAAGATCCCTGCAGCCGGTGAGGTGCCGATGGGCCAATTTTAGTGGGTTGTCTGAAGGGAGAGTATCCTAAAAGCGGAGTGCGTATCGGTGTCTATGTTTTTTTTGTTGTGTTATATTGTGGATTGATGAATTTAAATGTTATATTTTTTCAAGGGATGTTTTTATTACATCTAAATATCGATCTAGAATCTGCAGCTTTTTTTGGGTTGGTTTAGCGAACATGTTGAGGATGTTGAGGGACATTACTTTTAAAAAAGTGGTCCACTAGCTGTCTAAGGGATAAGAACATGTTCCATGCTGTAATTCCGGGAGGGTTGGGTGAAGTGCTGTAGGTCTTACTTTATACTCTTTCCAAGTAGAGGGGTGGGCAGAGAGTATAGCATACAGTACTCATCATGAAAGTGTAGCGACTTTGCCATGTGCAGTGCTTTAGACCCGGCCCCACCCGTATGGTTGTTTGATTTGGGGAACGTGATGTTTTACAATTTCAGTTTCTCAGTTCATGGGTTGCAAGGGGCCCATATCTATGACCAGACCATTTGGCCATGAATCAACGCCCTGCTGCTACTCCGACATCAAAGTAGCTGGTAAATCCACCTTGGTGTAACAGTTTTGGCCCATTTAATCTGTGGGGCATTTATATGCATTTATCATTTAGAGCTAGTCGCAGATGTCATACCCTATAGTTGCTGTAATAGCGTGTCATTCCTGTTTGGTTTGCTGGTCATTCCTGTTTAAGGGCAATTGCATTTGGCTGCCTTGAAAAGTTTGTTTTATTTGCTTAGAAATCTGCCTGATGCATCGTGAAGAATGACCTCACTACCTCTTAGCCTAAGAGGTGGGTGCTATATGTTCAATAGAATTGAAGGATGTGAGAACAAATTAACAAGGCTGGCTTTCCCCATGCAACAAAAATGGTTGTTCCAAGCACCAAAAACAGGTTGCTGATGGTGACGTCAGTATATCCCTGTTGAACAAATCGTCATACATTTCTTATTTGTTCTAAATTAGATCCCTATTTTCCGCAGGTTATAACACCAATTTTATCAAATCACCCTGCTGTTCATCATATTTTGTTCTATCCCCAACTTATTCTATCCCCAACATCAATTCTACCCTCAACTTTTTCTTTTGCAAGCAGGATGTGTTTTGCACACTTCGTAGCCTACATGTATCAACTTGCATGTGGCTGTCATTGCAGCCATCAGATATGAATGTAGCGTATATATTGTAATCAATAACTATTATCCATGTATATAATTGTATAATATTGTATATATTGTAATTCATATCTATTGGCAATCCCCAACTTAACATGGTCCCCAGGAAGGTGTCGGTCCTCGCAGGACTTTGCCGTGAAATTGCCCAGGAAACTCATCGATGATCTCAAGGCCACTGCTGGTGGAGTGGCAGTTGCTTGGCCCGACTTGGATGGGTCGCTGGTTACCTGGTACCCAATGCAGGAAAACACATCAATAGCTGGAATTTATGGATGATTTCTGGGAATTATACGGAATTTATGGA